TAAGCGCCGGCCCAGCCTTAAACGGTGACGAGGTCCTACAGCATTTCTCCATGAGCCCATGTCTCTGTTTACAGTGTGGGATGCCAGATGAATTGAGTGCACAGGGCAACCTCAAAGGCAGTCTGAATGAGAGAGTGGTCTTGGATCTACTATGACCCTTTTTGTAGGAGGCAAAAGGAGCTGGCCCACAACTGTGGAAAGCCCTTGGCTGAAACAGGGAGTGAGACCCATTAGTGGGCTGGGTTGCAGCAGCACAAATCTTTGTTTCCATCCTGAAAGATGTTCACTCATCCCTAGTGAAGACATGTCCATTCCAGGCAGAATGCTCTCTATTCCCATCCTCGGTTCAAGGGCAGGTTCTTTCCCCACAGAGCCCATTTCCACCTTCGTCTGGCCTCTACACAGGCTTTACCTTGCCCTTTCAGAGGTAGGGCATCGCCTCTCAGGCCAAGCTACCATGGGCTATCAGTGTGGGATGGCGTCTGACCTCGTGCCATGCTGCTAGATGCACATGACATCCCAAAGGTACAGGGCAATTAGAAAGACCTTGCATAGACTTCCCATCACACAATCATTTTGTGTTTTGTTGTGGGTTTGTTTAAGAGGTTTTGTGACAGCTTGTCTTACTTTGCAAATGTGTGCATAGCGCTTGATCATTTGGGTCTGACTATGATTTGTACAACAGTTAGTACCCGTTCAGTTATCGGCAGCAGTGGAAAGAGAGGGCTGCCAGGGTAGTCCCTTCTAGGAGCGTGCAAGCCATTATGGAGCTCTTTTCTGTGGCCAAGCCCATGGCTGGACTCCTGGTTGTTAGCACTTACGTGCCAATTCCTGTGCTGAATAAAATAATGCACTTACTCTTTGTAGAACTGGGGACATAGTAGTCACTAGTATTGTTTGTTATTGTTTCCTTCTCTAAGTTCAAGGGGAGGGAAATCCTTAGTGCGCTGACCTGTCTCCGTCTGGGACAACAATGGACAAATTCTGTGCTGTGGGCACATTCAAAAGCTTTACAACTGGATCGGATAACTAAAGAATGATACATTTTCTTTTTTAGGTGTTCCCTGTACTAAGCACTGGTGATTACTGCAGGCATTGTGAAAGCATTATCTGAGAGAAACCAGCAACATTTTAAAGGACAAATATGTGCATGCTACTGCCAGATAGAATTTCTCAGTTTTGTAAAATAACGAGTCAATGTAAATGTGCAGATGAACCAGAAATTGCCTTTTTTGATCAAGGAGTTGCTAGTGAGTTGTTAATTACCTGGAGCTGAATGGAAGATGTTCAAATGGGCAGCTGTCAAATGATAGAAAGATTTTTTGTAATCCTGCACGTTTTGTATTGCTATATCATATGAAAGTGTTATACATGCATTTAACTGGACAAAGGAACAGGGCAATTGCAGTTTGGAGCTGAAAAGAAAAATAAAGTAGTGACCTGCCTGATTGTCTTGCTGGGTAACCTGGAAGATGTGTCCAGTAATGCCTAGGATGTTTTAATTTGTATTTATCTCAGATTTTTATTTCTTTAATGTGGACATTCACTAACCTTGTAGTTTAACCTTGTAGGGACCTACCATCCTTTTACTGTCATCTAGTTTTCACGTATTTATTTCCCACTCAGCTTGCCACGGAGCACTTTTGTAGTGATTACCAAACACTGCAGTTTCCCTCCTACTTAGGTGTAGGTCCCTACCGTTTCTGCAACACTGCTATTCTTATTCCACACTAGGGCTAAAAACCCCAGAGATGAGAGATAGTGAGCCCGTGTACTGACTCCAAAAGCCTTCTTGCTTGTCTTGAATCAGACTGTACTGTCACTGGAAGTGACTTTGTTTTGGATATGCTTAATTGCAGCCTGCCTTTCACAGGGTCATGTATATTTCTGATGGAATGATTGAAAACCTCTAGCATTAGTCAGCCTGATCTGTAAATCATTTATCACCAATATTCAGCCTACCTATTCCCCAACAACAGAAAAGGGAATCCCAACGAAGGCACGGTTTGACACATGCATCAGTCTCAGATGGGCCCCTCTCTTTATTTCTCCCTCTCTCTCTCTCCACAATATTGCTTTCAGCAGTGTTTCCTCCCCAGAGGTAGGAAAGAACTGGATGCAGTTCATTCTGATGGCTGACAATATTTGACAATGTACTCTGTAGAGGGCTTAGTGCTAGAACATGCCAGTTGACCCTCTCACCTCCTTTGCACAGGCTTGGGCAGTGGTTAGTCCCTGTCAAGGCAAGGGCAGCAAATTTCAGAGCCTGACCAAAATTTACAGCCAGTCCTGTCAGCCTGGCTGCAGACTATGCAAGTGTGAGGAGAAAAGCCCTCTGGCAAGCCATGCCTGTGAGATGTACCCAAGTGACAAGTCTGTGGGTTGGAGGCTGCATGGCTGGAGCGTGACAGAAAAAAACATTCTTATCCATGGTTTGTCACTCCTGCTAACAATTGTCTCTCTTGTTCTCTTATCTTCCCCAGGAACGAGTGGAGTATCTCTTTCTCATAATTTTTACAGTGGAAGCATTTTTAAAAGTAATAGCATATGGACTTCTCTTTCACCCCAACGCTTACCTCCGCAATGGCTGGAATTTACTAGATTTTATAATTGTGGTAGTAGGGTGAGTACCAACATTTTGTCTTTGAATATACTGCACACGTGGGGATACTGGCAACCTTTGGGAGCATGAGGGTGGGTGAATGCTGGGTACATTACGTATGGGTGATGTTAGAGGTTGTTGTCCGTCATGTTCCTCCTACATCCACCATTTGTTTCTCCAGTGTTAGCCCTCCTGCAGACTCCATGTGTTTTACGAAGTTTTACTGTGTAACCTAAAAATACAGGTAACTCACTGGTCTTCTGCAGGTATAAGCTGATTCATGCTAATTTTCAGTGTTTAGCAATGATTTACCTTGAGATAAATATTAAGGATTGACAATCAGTTGATGTACGTTTTCTGTCTGGTATCCCTTGCTGCTTAGCCTTTTCCAAGGCTCTTAATGGCTGGCAAGACATGGAAAGTAAACTGTTGTTTAGGAACAGGGATAAAGAGAGGAAGCAGTGCAAGGATGTTGGACAAATTCAAATGCCTGAATATACTTAACTAGAAGAAAATCTTGTTTGTAAATCTGTATGAATATTAAAAAAGAGTATCTAGGTGGGATGCTTTAATTAAGATTAGAGTTGGATGACAAATAAATTCTGCCATCTTGTGAATTTTTACTGATATTTCTCATTCTTAAAGATGGATGAAAAATTTTAATCCCAGGTTTTCATACTTACAAACAAAAATAAGTTCTTCAGTTCAATTGCACTGTTCTGCTGGTGATTTCAACACTTATGATTTTGACCCTTTTAATGTTTTAACCTTTTTAAAGACTTAATTTTACTATTGTAGATCAGATTGCCACTTTGAGCTGCAACCTTTCTAATCCCCTTATTCCTCTCTGTGTTTTTCAAACTTGGCATTTAATTCATTTGAATAAAAGCAAAGTAAAACACCTTTTGCTTTTTCTACCTAAAGGTAAGAAATAAGTAAGGAATTTGAATTGTGGTTGTTGAAGGGAAGAGGTGAAGGATAAACTATGCCTGAAGACAAAGAGAAGAAGTATTTCTTTACCTGAGTAATTTGTCCCATCCTCCCACTCCTGCATTGTTAAATAGTTTCATCACCCACAAAAACTTGCAGTCTTTTCACCTCTTTACCAAGGAAACCCTGCATGAGTTCCTGGGGAAAACATCAAAAGGGACGCTCTCAGTCATCAGACCTCCCTCATAATTTCTGCTCCAAACCAAAGTTGATCTAGCTCCTTGACCATTTTTATGGTGGCCCCAAAAAATTATGTCAGCAAACTGCTGTGTGCTACCGAATCCCTCTCACTTTCTATTATCATGGGGAAAAGTGGGTGGAAGGAGAATTCCCAGTGAGGGAGAGGGAGGACAAGCTGGAACCTATTCTTAGTCCCAAGACCTCTCTGCCCTCACGTGGGCATAATGCTTCTCCTTATGGTAATACCTGATTGTCTTTCTTCTTCATTCCTACCCATAGCCAGAGGATCCCACCACAAATTAGTAATTGGAAATTGGAAAATCTGGAACCTCTCCCCTGGCATTGATGTCCAATTCTGTAGCTAGTTCTGCCTTTGAATGCCCTCAGATATCTCACCTGATTGGGAATCACTGCTTAAGTTGAAGAAAGATTGGAGAAAAAAAGTCCTGTGAATGTGATTATTCCCTTTTCATTTTTATGAGAAAGAGACTTTTTAAAGAGAGGACGCTTCACCTTTTCTTCTTCCACTGGAATAAGAACAGGGCTCTAGAAATCACAGGGCCACATTAGTTTAAGTACAGTGCTTTTCAATTTTCCTACTAGGGCAGTTAATCAGCAAGATGATATTCAGACTGAAATTAATCCCCTTGCCAATGTCAGAAGCTGCAGCTCTCAGCTCTTCTATCCACTCTTGCCTCCAGCAGCTCCTAGTCACTAGGTAGGGAACAGAAAATGTAACTGAGGAGAGATTACACGAGTATAATAAACATGGCCAAAACCCCAAGGTCTCTGTTAAATAGTAACAATCTCAAGTGACAGATTCCACTTCAAGGCCAGATGGGTTCTTTTGATGTTTATCTGTTTAAACTCACTCGAACAGTACCACAGCCTAGGCTGGGGCACTGCTTTTTCTCTCCACAGCCCCTCTGCAAAATCGACAATGTGGTACCATCTGTTCCTGTTATGCCCTGTCTTCTTTTCCTAAGGGCTGTCTGAAACTCCTCAATGACGTTATGTTTAAATTTCAGCTTATTTGAATATTTTGTTGGGGAGGAAGTCCCATGGAAAAGGTTTAAAATAAATTTTAAAGAGAGCGAGAGAGGAGGAAGAAAGCAAGTGCTGGTAACGCTTCTCTCTGGTCCCTTTCTCTGCCTATTGATGGAGCTATTGGAGAAAGCTGAGTAATCTGGACACGGCTGTCGCACTGGGCAGAGGGATTTATTTTGTATGTGGGGCAAAGGATGGCATGGGACTCAGACTGGAAGCATCAAGTCTCAAACAACTGTGGTAATTGCCATTCATGCTTGTTCTGCCTTAGGAACCATCTTAATTTTCAAGGATGATTGTTCTTGCTACAAAAAATAGAAAAGCTAGGTGGGAAGTACTTCCTCAAGTACTATTGGAAGTTAAAGGAGCAAAAAAAAAAAAAGAGATTTTAGATCCTTTGTTTGTCTCTAAATCCAGCTAGTATACACTGCTTACTACATATATCTCAAAGAGATAATACAGCACAACTGGATTCCTTTATGTTAAAACATACAAGTCAGGAGTGAAAGGAAAACGGACATGCATAGGATCAAGCATAAATTCTAGAAGGGAGTCTCAATTTCTATAAAAACTTTTTATAACAGTGTGCTTGTATACTTTTCCCTGTCTTCTGAAGATAGGTCCCCTGGTATCCAAAGGGATTTTAGAGTCAGTGGTTCTAACAAGGCCACAGGAACACGCAGCAGCAGCAGAGGGGAACACTGAACACCACTGCTATGTTTTCTGGAGAAAGGATGCACTGTAGACCTGTGGGCTTGTAACTGCTTATCGTTCTTGCAGTGTGGGAAATCTGCTTATTCATCAGCTAAGACTTTTAAAGCTTGATTCTAGCTTATCTTTAAATAGTCTATGACCCTGCCATAGCAGCACCATTAAATGCTGCTTTGAAGAAAAATGTCTGTGTGAGAGTATCAGTCAGAGGCTCTGTGGATAAGAACATTATTAGTTAAGAGTTGAGATCAGAACCCTAAGCTGCCTAATAGGGCACAACCCACAAACACTAATAATTAGTCAAATTGTTTCCTGCTTCCTTCAGTTTTACTATTCCTCTTTTGGAAAACATTAAAACTTTCAGATATAGCAGTGATGTCCTTTAATATTTGGGTGTTGGAGGAAATTTCTCTTGAGAGAAGGCTAACTTGACAGTGTTGTGCTAGAATAATATCTGTCTTTCCTGGCAGTGCTGTGGTTTGTCTGCCAAGCACAGTCATTCTCCAAGGACCCATAGCTTCTGCCAGAAAAAAAGCTGTCATAATTTAAAAGGCAGTCTTACTTGGGAAGGTAAGCGTTGAAGGTATTTGGAAAGGATCTGAAATTCAGAGCAGACTGGAAAATGTGGTCATAGTATATATCTTTCTGAAGACCTGTGGGGAATTTCTAAAGGGCAGACCCAAATACTTTCACACTCACAAATCACAGGTGAACTATAAAACACTGAAAAAAACCCAATGTATTTTACTATTTCTTTATACCTATGAGGATTCTTTCAGTTATATTTTTCTGCTGTTTTTTTGCCTTAGAAATACCAAGCCCTCTGTTTTCTTTTTATATTCTGGAGGCCCTTGACAAGTTCTTTTTTTATGCTATAAAAATCAGTGTGCCCTCTCCACAGAGAGTGAGATGAAGAGCTGTAGAGCAGGTTACAGCCTTATCATGCTGCTGTTGGAGTCATCTAGCAAAGCTAAAACCTTTTTGATATTTCAGATGTCAAAAGGGAAACAGAAAAATATAAGAAAGGAAAACAGTGAAGCTAGCTTCATACTTCACAAGTAAATGTAAAAAAAAAAAAAGTGGAGTGTGTCCATACATGCCTGAGTGTGATAGAAATTTATTTTCTGCTTTATAGTTCATGTCTGTCAGAGGAATTCAGTTTAGGTATAGTCATGTCACAAGTGAAATTCAGAAATCAAGGTGCTGTTAATTGTGCTTCATCACTGGAAAATACTATATCCAAATGAAAACAGGGCATGAATTTAGGCTGGCAGAAAATAGTTAGCTGGAAGGAAATAAGACTGATTTCTGCATTTCTTTTTAAATGGTGAGATTTTCAGTAGCCATAAGAGATTAGCCCTATTGCATTTTTATATAATCCAAACGTTGGTTTCTGTGTCAGCACAGTGTTCTTTCACACCATGCTTGGAGCATGCATCTCAGCTAGCTCACCTACTGAGAAGAGCTGTACCTCACTCCACTGTAGTTACTGTAAGCTTTTCCCAGAGGTTTTCATCAAAGAGAAGACTTTTCCATGTAAATATATGGTAAAGGGGCTCTGGCCTCACATTTTATATCAGTAGCTTAACATTCATCCAGGTCTTTTAGGACTCGAAAACAGCTAGCTGAAAAACTGGAAAGAGTCTATAGAGCTCATAGAAGCTACAAACTGCAAATGGGTTGTGCAGTTTTTTCCTAATAGAGGATAATGAAAGAGGGCTATCAGAAGCCTTACTTTTCTATGTCTAATCACCATTGCTATTTCTGAACAGGGCTTTAATTTAAATCCTACCCGCCTCCCTGTGTCGTAATGAGTTACAACCAAAAAAGCATGTGGTAGTTGTAGCCTCTGTGTCATAGATGTCTGCCCGTGCCCTAACTCAGAAGGCAATAAGGACAACAAAGTAGGATTGGCAAAATGTACTATAAATTTGAAGAGTGGAGTAGAGATTCAGTAGGCCAGATTGGGCACTGTCTAGATCACAGTACAAAAGGGAAAGAAAAAAAAATAAATGACAGAAATAAAAAGTTGTATTGCATTAGTAAAAAGCAGGATTAGTATAGGGGGAGATATTAAGCACGGAGTAAATGCGTTAAAGCAGGATTAGCAGGAGTAATGCAATTCAAGTTTAAATGTAGGTTTTTAAATGAGAAAAAAGAATTACTGCAAATTATTCCTGAAGTATGGTAGGCAGATGACTGTGGGGACCGCAAGAAAGCACATTTAGCGCGTCGACACTGAAGCACATGAACAGGGCCACCTGGCCTGCAGTGGAGCTGCGTTGGTCTGGGAAGGTAGATTCTAGCTCCAGTGGAGTGAGCTGTCATACTGGTTGTGTTTCTGCTCCTCCTAAATTAATTTAGGACACGTATAGCTTTTCTTAGGATGCAGAATTCTAGAACAGCCCATGGTTTGCTCATTGCGTGAGTGGCAGGAAAAATGCCCTTGCTGCCAGCTGCCAAGAGCTACTGTTTGGTAAAACATGAGGCCAGTGATAATGGGGATCAGGAGAATGGACCCTCAGTTTTGCACAATTGCTGACTCAGAGTTCTTTGAGATTTCTTGTCTTCAGCATTGCAAGAGAGCTGAAAAACAGCATAAGAAACCTTTTGCAGTGAATTCTTTTTCCTCCAGATGATCCCAGGAGACTGGGGCTGTTGTATAGGTATGTCACCCATCATCTAATATGGGAATTCTGTTGAGTAGGAAGATAGAAACATTTGAATAAGAAATAGAGCATGTTTCTAGAGCTTAATCACTAGCTTACTGAAAATATATTAGGCCAAATTTGACCTACAGTGTTTCTATTATGAAGACCAGCAGAAAATTGTAACTGTATAATTTGTGTACACAGCTCAAGGAATACATACACTTCAGTAATTCATGTCCTTTCCATCAGCCCTTGTTTATCTCTCTCTGTGATAGCTGTAGTCAATGCAGTATTTCTCATACGCTCTGTTTTTGTCTTCCCTGCATCCTGCTTCTCAGTCTGCAACACCTACAAACTCAGCATCCAACCTCCCCACACACAGTTTTTCCCACGCTTGTTACCTAGTTGTTAAATCTTTCTGCAGTGCTTGAAATTGAGGCTTTGAATAGATCCAGTTAGGAGTTCCTCAGTCACAGCTGACAAGTTTTATAAGACTCTTTATATGAAATTTGAAAAAACAAAACAAAACAAAAACCCAAACAAAAAAACCCCAAAACAAAAAAAAAACTGCTTAAGAAACTACTTTTGCATTTGCACTCCCCTAATCCACATTTTTGTGTGGATTTAGTGCTGAGGAAATGCATTGGCTTAGATACTTCAGTAAATTAATCCTTTTTCTATTGAGCGCAAGCTCCCTATGTTTGTGGCCCTATCAGTAAGTTTTAACCGCAAACTGCAGGCATTGGAGCTCCTTGTAAAGCAACCAGGCAGCTCAGTTTCCACTTGGTATGCGGTTTGGTGGCTCTGTGGAATATGCCAGTCAGGGCATATAGATGAGATCCTGACAATGACACTACAGACTGGGAAGTCTGAGAGAGAAATCAGCCAGTGCTGAATCCAGGCCACTCCAACCAGGCTGTTTCTGGTATCGCAGGCAGCTTCTTTAAAGCTACCTCTGTTACTTCTGTGGCACACTATGGGCCAAGGTGAGTCTGCCACTCACAGGGAAGATTTTCTACAGAGCATCAAATATCCATTTAGACTGGAATAGCTTTTAACCTCTACTGAATTTGGCTGGGTTCAAGCTGATGCTTTCAGCCTTGAAGTCAACGTCATTAGCAAATTCATGAGGAATCCATCCTCCCACAAAGGTACTAATGTTTTACCAGAAAAATGGAAGCTGCTTCCTGAAAGCTAATTTATTAAATCAAGTTCTTATTAACACATTGGGTGAGCCTTCAGCTCTTTCACAGAAGAACATTGTCTTTTCTGACTTGCTCTGCCTTTTCCAATGCATTTTGAGTGAGACATCTTCTCCTTAAAGCAGCTACTCCTACTAGCCAAGATAAAACATTGACTGATATAATAAAACATTCTAATAATAAGACTCCTACAGTTTTGTGCTTTCCCTAGCCAATGCATCAGAGGATTTACAAATGGATACACAAGCACACAATCTGAGCATACTTCCATATCTAAAAATTTGCACCTTGAAGGACCCCTGAGTTTCACATCAAGTTCTACCTGCAGTGACCTTGGTGAATCTTAATTCCTTGTAAAATGGGTGACACATAATTAATGATTGGATTAATTATGGATGAAGATTTTTTTTTCCCCAAGGTGGATTATTGGTTAATAAAGATAGCAAAGTATTGGTAGCAGAAATGGTAACCCCCCAAATTTGTGCTTTCTTGCCTTTCCACTCAACTCCCACTGAGTATGTCTGGACTGTCTGGTAAGGAGAGCCTGGAGGCTGCCTTCAAAATCTGACCCATGTGCTCTGCTTTTGGTGGCCCTTTCAATTTGGCACTAGACATTGCCAGAATGGCCATTTTGAAGCACCCGTCATGCCCCAGCACGCAGGGCAGGGAGCACACCTCCATCATGTGCTACCAGGCAGGCTGGGTGCTCTGGTGGTCTATAGCTGGCTGCAAGGAGCCATTAGGCTGAAGGAGGAGCACGTCATGTTTATGTCTGCTCCAGAAACAAGTGTTTTGCAAAAGGTATAGACATCACCATTAGGCTATTGCATATGGGAAAAATCTGTCTCTCTTCCACCGTATGTGAATGTCGAAGGAGATGTTTGACACTCTTCACAGGTCTGTGAGATAGTTTGGGTGATATGATGAAGATCTCTGTTCCTGTTTAGCCCAAGCTTTGCTATCTGCCTACAGATTGTTTCTTCTTTCTTTTTGCAGGCTTTTTAGTGCAATTTTAGAACAAGCAACCAAAGCAGATGGGGGGAATTCAATAGGAGGAAAAGGTGCCGGATTTGATGTTAAAGCACTGCGGGCTTTCCGAGTATTACGTCCGTTACGGCTGGTGTCTGGAGTTCCTAGTAAGTAACATCATTGTTTTTATTTTATGTATGTCTGTGGTGTGTGTGGCATGGGGCAGAGTAATTTGTGTAACAATTTTGAAGATGGAGTGTGATGCAGATTATTTTTGGTGAGTGTGGGAGATCTTTTTTCAAATTAATGTATTCATGACAAATGTTATATTAATCAAAGGATGACCAAACCAGAGCTGAAGGGGAATGGAAGTTTCATGGTATGTCAATCTGACTGTGCAACCTTTGTAAACAATGAAAGTGGGTGATCCAAGATTTTAATGATTTCAAGCAAAAGATCCTTTAAATAATTATGAAGTCACAGTGCGTTATTGGTATCATAAATACTTGACCTTGATGGAAATGCTGTATGGTCATTTGTGTTGATTTTGGAGGGAGAGGAGCTTTTTCATTAAAATTGCATTTTCTTTGCATGTGATGTTCTGATCAAGAGCACTAGGAACAATTTAGAACCAACAGGACACAGGGCAATGACACAGTCATGTTCTCTGTTAGTCTTATTTGCTTAAATTATTTGTCATGCCTCTGAGAAAGTCCTCAGGCAGCTTTTGACAGTCTAACATGCATTTTCTTATTTACAATGAAGGTATGAGTAACTGGGAGTCTGATAATTCTATTGTGGAGGTGGAATACGGACATCACAATGTGGGAGGATTATACCATTTGTCTTGAGAGTTTGTTGTCGATGGGACCTGTTGGCCTTTTGGAGAGAGGGTTAGTTGAAAGCTGTCATTGCTTTCCATGTTTGTAGCAATGAGAGATGTAGTTAGCAGGAAAGGAGTTAATCTTCTCCAGAATAGCTATGGAGAGAGTTTTGTTTATTTTTATTTGGGGAACTTGCTAGTTTGATATCTTAAAGTACTTCTAACCTTAGTCATTCAAAAGCCTTCGGTCAAGTTACCATAAAATCTGCAAGATTAGTTTAAAAATCATGATTTATTTGTTAGGAAAAAAGTGTAAGGTTCTTTCTCTTTGGCTTTTTTTCTGACCCACTAGGTTATATTAGAGCCATATTTGCAACCTTTTCTCCACAACCATAAAGGGCAGAAACTTTTTAAATGAAAGGTGAGAATCTCTGTGAGAGGAGCTGAAGCACTGAAAAAAGCAAAAAATACTGAGGCAATTGACAGCACTACTATTAGGTCTCACAAAAAGTCATGCCTGGTACCCTGTCTGCAAGGCATCAGCTTGTGCCCAACTTGGGGTTACTTTGGGCATCAGTGGGTAAGCAGAAAAATATTGAAAGGTAAATGCTGTCTCTTAGACAACTAAAGGCCTTCCCCTCTGATACAGAGCCAACATCCACTATTCGTGCCACCTCTGTCAGGGATTACTGCAGCAGGTTGTTTCACGCAGACAATTGTGTACCATGCAATACCTTCAGTCCATGCAGAACGCAGCTCTGCCTTTGGCCAGATTTGTCTCACGTCTGTGGTCTTCAGTCTGCACTGGCACTCACTTAATTCCTGGCTGCAAATTAAGGTTTTGTTGTTCTTTCCTAGCCTTTCTCTGATCTAAGTCTTTTGGGGCTTTCTAGGTGCATGTTCCACTCTATGGTAAGGGGAAGGTACTCGAATTTAAACTGCTATGAACTGGAGTGTTCTCAGTGAGATGCTGCTTATGCTGGGACGTGTTCTGAGAGTTGTTCTGACATAGGCTGAGCTTAACTGTGCTTATAGTTCTTGCTGTTTTGGAGAACAACATGTGTTCCACAAGACAAAGAGGTTTTGTTACTACTGTTCAAGTCTCTTGACTAGTGCTCTTAGAGGACTAGAGGAAGGTGAGGCAGCCAAATTTGACACAGTTCATATCCATATGCATATATGATCTTGATCCCAGCATAGACTAATAGTCCATTTGTGGGTGTTCTCATCAAAAGAAGTATTTAATTTGCACCAGAACAGAGCCAGGGAGCCTGGTGCATGCTAACAGATATTTGGTCTAGATAATGAAATGCCAGTGAAGCAGGCAAATCATCAACTTGACCTGACAGACACTGTCTGTTAGTCTTTATGGTTCTGACTACGGACATATTTATTGAACCAGGCTTCTTTAGGGCTGGTGTGTCTTTTGGAAAGCCTACTGAGGTCTGTAGCTAATACGGCCTCAGTCTTCACTGGATATTTTTTAATTATCCAAGTGTCTGTTGATTAGCCTAAATAGATGTTATCACATCCATATGTATTAGAGCATAACTTTTCTCATGAGGCTTTTTAGATAAGATTGCCTAAGCCAACCATAAATAGTACATTACAGGATTACATTATTACATAATAAGTTAGTGCAGAGGTTTAGAAGTCAAAGCTCTGGGTGCAATTCAAGTTCTGTCCCAGAGACATCATAAACACCAGTGGGCGAGTTACCAACATTGCACTAGCTGTGTTTGCCATTCATAAAGAAATGCCTTTTGCTTCATTCCCCTTCCAAAATGTAGTAGATTTTTCTGCTGTGAGGAGACAACTCACACAGGTTTGTCCTAAAATTACATGAATGTAACATGCACTGCAATTTCTTCTCACTTAACGGATTCTGTAAGTATATGGAAGCAGCATCTCATTAGTAAGAGGGAATCCTCTGGGTCATTGGCAGCTGCCTTCTGCATGGAAAGCCCAACATCTGCTGCTTGGCTTGAGGTCCAGATCTACCTACCACTATTTGGAAACAAGCATGTGAAGCACAATGATTCTTTTAAACCAAATTTATGAAGCACATGGTGAATTTTTGCATGAAAATCTTAAACTCAGGAGGATTGGGGTTGAGAAATAGTTTGTCTGAGGTAGAGAGATTGGTGTGCATCATATTTTTTTCTGAGTCAAAAGGAGCTTGCATGGATTTTTTTCTCTCTGGCTCAATCCGAAGGAAATAATCCAATTTAAGAGGGACATATTTTGTATTCAGGTTCAAGCATTTAGAGACTTGTTTCAAAATATAGAGAGTTTTCACAGAAGTCTGATTAGAAATCAGGGAAAAAACATGAATTACCTTCTAAAGTAAATTACTAGTGTCCCCATTTTGCAGATGGAAAGACTGAAGCAAAAGTTCAAGGTTTAATACTCTCAGAAGTGGCTTCTAACTCTCCATGTCTCATATTGGCTACCAGTGCTAGACACCTGGGTCAACACAGGTATCTGAAAGCTTCAGATAGATGGATAGAGGATGTTAGCCTCAGAGCTGGGAATTCTTTTTCTCTAAGTCCTATCCATGCTTAGTTCCCGAGACTTGGTGCTCTCTTGCCAGAAAACGTCTCAGCAGAGAATTCAGGGACTGTTCAGTGCAGGAAGTGGTTCATCTGAAAAAAATAGTTTGAGTTCCTCCCTTGAAAACTTTTTTGGAGTAAGAAGTACAGTTTTTGTTGTGACTATGTAAGGTGCATGGCAGAGCAGTAGATTCAGTACTTCCCACAGATCTCATCCCAGTCACAGCTCTCATTCCAGTGCTGACAGTTGCTTTGTGAAATAAATAAAATTTAAAAGGGATAATTAAGCAAACTCTTTTTTTAATTTTTTTTTTTTTTATTTCTAACTCTTTTTAAAGTCATACTGTTTCTGGAAAAATGATCCAATCCCAGTCTGTTTAGTCTGGCATTAACTGGTAAATTAATGGTGAATATTTTCAAAAGTACATGGATGATTTAGGTTTCACAGTGGTAAGTCACTTTTGAAAATTAGATATAAGCACTTTATATCATTGATACAGGCCAGACTTCACTGTTCAACCATTCTGTTACTGTTGTACTAACATAATTCTTGTAGTGCGTACTTATTTCAGTTGCTGAAATAACTTCACTGCTCGTGTACCAAAGAAGTCTTTGTAAAAAAAACTTCACGTGTGCATTAAAGCATCCATCTTAGTGTAGCATTAAGATCAGTATATTGGTTTGAGAGAGAGAAGGAAAACAATTCCCTTGACAGACCTAAGTAGACAAGTGCAAAATCAGCATTTATACCAAAACTTAACCGCTTTAGTGTCTTGGAAACTGTTACTCAGTAGCTCCTTTGGCAGGAGTGTAAAGCATTGCAAAGCTTTCTAGGGACAGAAGCAAGTGAGCCCTTTTGTGTTAAGAGTTTTCTGATGATTACTCTTCTATCTCCATTTTACATTATTACATATTTTAAAACTTGTTTTAAACGTTTGGTGCTTGAGGAGGGCGAAAAGAAGCATTGAATTCAGCAATGAAGAAGCGTGATCCAAATAAAAAAGAAAATCAAACCTGACTATTGGGAAGGGCAATCAGTTACTCCTACGCATGCTAACTCATGCCCATTTAACTTATTAAATTCCTTTTCTATCACCTTTATTCATGCTGCTCAGTTATACCACCTCATAGAGTCTGTTCATCCTCTTTATGTTGTACTTCCTCTTGATGTAACTACATTGTTGCCACTAGTTACTGCCTATCTGATATTTGCCAAATTTAATTTACAAGCTCTTCTAGATAACTTGAAAGCCACATAATTTGTGTAGATGTTGTGCTGCTTACTTGTATTTTCAATGAGATCCTCTGCTGACCACCCAGATTTATGTGGGCAGAAGACCATGATATCCTTACCAATGCTGGAGAGGAAACGACTGTTCCACTAGAACAAAAACTTGCAATCTTTTTTCTTTTTTTCTTTCTCTCTTTTTTTTTTTTTTTTTTTTAAAAAAAAAAAACAACAAAAAAACACAAAACCCCAAACCAAAACAGAAAAAGCTAAGCCTGTGATGTTTCCAACCTTCACTGGAGTCTCCTAGCAGGAGAGACTTACTCAAAGGCAGTGTAGGTTGGTCTACTGGAGATGCAACAGTCACATAACTGGGGAACAGAGGGTATGAGCAAAAGAAGCTAGCCAGACCCTCCTCATGACAGTGCAATGTCTTTTTGTCAGTGAAACAACAGTGTGTAACTGGCTGAGTATATTTTTTTTTAATTAAAATGAAATAACACCAGAATTTTCATGCATTAATGCCTCGAAATGACTACCTTTATTTAAACAACTAACTAGAGC